GGAGCAGTGGTAGTTTTTTCTGGAACACGCAGAAGAAATAATCGGTTGGACCAGGGTTGGTTTCAACTCCAGCCCTGATAAGGATTCGGAGCAGCGCAGCTGCGGATAGTTCTGAAGGCGTTCTCGCTGAATTCAGTGAAGCCGGACTAGTAAGCTGTTTTAAAGTTGACAAATGTCCGGTGATCCGCGGAAACAAAGTCGGGAGGCCTGTCAATCGAGATATGTATGGGCAAGTGGTCCGATGCTAACGTCAGTATAGGTCGCCAGACTATACTGTTTATCAGATTAGCACTCTCAATTGTTATGTCTGGCGAGCTTTGGCAATTACCCATAACTCTGGTGAGGGTGTTATCGTTCATTGTGCAGAATGTCGAATCGTCTATCTGTTCCGCCAGCTCCATTCCTCTACGGTCAGTTGACAGGCTAGAATGCCAATGATCGTGATGCGCGTTAAAGTCGCCCAAAACCAAACGGTTTTCGCCCCTGAGTAGCGCACCTATATCAGGGGTGTATCCTGCTGGGTAACTTATAACTGGATGAATGTATATATTGAATATTTCGAGCTCGACATCGCCTGAGCGGATAGCTATGTCGTGACATTCTAGGGTAGTATCCCTGCGGTCGATGTCGCCATCAATGAGACGATACTGCACGGTGTTGTGCAGGGTGAACGCTAAGCCCCCGCCATGGTCTCGCTCGCGATCCTTGCGGATTATGTTGTATCCGGCCCTGTTCAGAAGATCTGATCGGGCGGTCAGCTTGGTTTCCTGGATCGCAGCAATTGACAGGTGCTCCCGGCTCATATAGTCGACTATCTCGTCAATCTTTTCCTGGAGTCCGTTGCAGTTGAATTGTAGAAGTCGGGTCTGTCTCGGGGGAACGTTCGTAATTTGGGGAACGAGGGAGTGATGCGTGGCTGGTGTGTGTTGCTGCTGTACTACCCGCGGGAGTTGGTTCCGCACATTGGTGTTGATTGGCGGAGGGTTTGTAGAGACATACGGGGGCAGACTCCTACAGCACGGGGCAACATACGCATCGAAAGTGACACCAGCCAGAGCAAAAGTTGCATTTGACTGAGGTAACGTTCCGACGCACTATGGTCTGACACACGGAACAGACAGTGCGGGGGACTAGGAGCTGCTGGGTAGCCCTCGCACGGGAGGAGGATGAGGAGCTGGTTGTGGGTGGGGATGGATGTGGAGGTTGAAGGGAATCATGCTGCGGGGAGCTCCGTAAGACCGTGGAGGTCTGCAGATTACCCAGAGTGGGTATGTGTGCTGAAGGCACTACCGTGGAGGCTGAGGGGGCGGTTGGACGCTGGCAGCATGGGGCCACATAACTTGTGGTCCATTCCCTGTGGGTCTTAAGGCCTGAGCAGGTCTTAAGATGACTCCAGCCATTGCACTGGGTGCATCTAACCGAGGTGGATGAATGGTGGAGTCTTCTTTGACACACGCAGCAGAAGTTATCCGTCGGTCCAGGGTTGGTTTCTACACCAGCCCTGATCAGAAAGATTTGGAGCAACCCAGCTGCGAGGTGTTGCTCCGTCGACGTACTTAGACTAAGGTTACCTGTAGACCTAAACGGGTTTAGGTCTCCGAAAGGGTGACAGCCCTTGGCCGGATAAAATCCGGGTCAACTCCGGTGCGTAGAACCGGCTGTCGTGAGAGGGATTCATCCGTGAAAAATTTCGGTTTCCTTGCCTTCACTATTATAACGTCGAAATATTCCCGCCATTTTTCACCGGCTAGAAGGGTCATTCCTCGATTTCTGTTTCATTATAAAATATTAATATGGACACCATGTATTCAATTCGTAACTTACACAAACGCATAAGGACTATTCGTTACAAGAAATAGTTTTTTGCCGGCATTCACTAATTTTTGAAAATATGCAGGTAACATGCTGTTCTTCTCAATATATTCTCCCACGTCTTTCATTACGATTTCATGCATAACAGGATGACAGGATTGCACTGATGCTTTTATGTCATGAAAGAGAATTTCGGGATTATAATCGATGTGGTTTTTTTCAAAATATTCAGCCACATTACATAGAAGGCACATTTCCGGAACGGAAAACAAATCAGCCAATTGAACCATTTTGGCCTTAGCATTTGGCTTAATAGAAAAAATACTAAATGTCTAGATGCACGAAGAAATGTCTATGTTTAATTTTAGCCACCTGATAGTTTTTAGACTGACCCTCAACATATGCAATTGGTAAAATACGATTTTTATAAAGCTTTAATACTTCTACGTCGGGAATCTTTGTCAGGCCACGGTATACAGATCCAAGCTGTATCTGCAGAAAGGAGTCAAGCTTCAAAAGTAATCCTTTTTCTATATCATAATGAAGTCCACGTACTGCAAATCCTGGAATGTACTCTAATTGTGATATTTTTTCAGGATACTGAAATAGGTTTTAAATAGTAGTGGTTTTAAAACGAAAAATATGGAAATACACAGCTTGCCTTAAATCTTTTAATAAGTCTGTCACGACCCAAGTTATACAATAAATCATGTAAGTTAGGCTTGTAGCATGCCAGAGTATAGTCATAATCGAAGCCGTATACATCTACTTCTTCCAAATCAAGCTCATTGTTAGCAAATACACCACATGGATTGACATCCTTAGGTAATTTTTTAGCTGAAATAAATCAAATTAGTACACTGCAGATTAGTTTAGGTGACTAGATGGGCAGCAACAATTTTTACTGAATCGTGTTCTTTGAGCAGAATTTCCAGTAAAATTAGTAACGACTGAAAGCAATTTTGACATAGAGTGCAAAAGCATGTGTTTCCTATCCAATATAAATTTATTAAATTGAATGTGTTTTACATAATGAAATTAGAGTAAGAAGTACAACAAAAATAGCAAAGGTTTGAAAATAAGCAATTTTTGATAGACTATTGTAGAAAAACTACAGCATAAATAGTGAACAAAAGTTAAATTCATTGCCAATCAACACTATCATATCTTAATATATAATGTGTAATGAAGGGATATACAGTATGTCAAGAAACAGTTCACATATTAAAAAAATATCCATTTTTTCACTTTACACGAAAAAAAACATAGATCTCTATTATACTTAATGGAAATTTTTTAAAGCAAAACTATTTCACAATATCTTTCCCGATAGTATCAATAAAAAAATTAATAGAACTAATAATAATCAATGAAAAACAGCAAGATGTCAGTTTACACATTTTTGACACTGTCAAGAAACTGTTTACACATTATATTTTCCGCAATATTTCACTTTAATTTTTGTCTAAAAAGGTAATTAACCGTTATATATGTTTCTGTAATTGCTTATTACAATGCTCTTTTTGCATTCCTTTGCACTTAGTTGTGAAATTTTGCATTGAAAGTCACTCTTAATAATTTTATAAATGCCCGGTAAAATGTTGTCATTTGAAGTTACTCAATTCCCGCCCATAAGCGGAGAATTTATGAACATTACATAATCATGCGAGAAGTTGACCGAAATTCGCAAATAACCCCTGCGGGTTAGGGGCTCAAGAATTTACCCGCGGTAAGGCATGCCTGTCGTAAGAGGCGACTAAAATCCAATAGTTCCCGCGACAGTCGGGTTTTTATACCGGAACGACCCCGACTTTTATCCGGCCAAGGACTGTCACTCCCGCAACATTCCCCAAAAAGTACTTTGGGGAATATTTTTGCGGTTACAACAACAACAACAGAACTTTTGTTCAGGAGCTTAAGGAAGAAAGTGACCTTGATGTTTCACACGAAACTGTACGCCAAGCCATTCCAACTTTTAAACTCTACCAGGACAATGACTAGATGCATAAGGAGCTTAATGTGCAGACATGACTCCTATACAGCTGCGGCAAAGTCATCGATATGTCTCCTCAGAGCTCAGATATCTACCCTATTGAAAAGTTGTAGGCTTATCTTAAGAAATAAGTGGCAAAAAAGCAACCCACAAATCGATAAGCGCTATAATCAGCCATACTAAAGATTCCATTGGAATATGACTTGCCAAAGTTAGGCCGATCGATGAAAGATGCGAACATGTTGGAATATAGCAAGTGCTAAGGGGGTCACACTAAATATTTCTATTAGTAATAAGACATCGAAATTGAAAATGAAAAATTGGTTTAGTGCATTGTGTAGTTTCTTGAGTGTCAAAAACTTTTAAACAGACATTTGATTTTTTTTTCATTGAATATTATAAGTTTTGTTAATTTTTTAGTGATATTTACGTAAAATAAAAAAAATGTGCATTTTCAGTTTGCAACCAAGAATTTAATCCTCGCTATGTTTCACGCGAAGTGGAGCGTCAATCATGGTATGGGAATGTGTTTCCTGGAATAATGTTGGTCCACACTACATGATAAATGGAATTTTAAATCAGGAGAAATACCTCGGCATACTGGAAAATGTCACATTGCCTTGTGCTGAGGACAATTTGTATGTTGTATGGAAATTTTAACAAGATAACGATCCAAATTACACCGGAAAGTTGACGAAAATTTTATGATTTTAAGATTTAGAAAGTAAATATAATATCTTAATATCATTATTTTTTCCTGATAAAATATACTTGTTTCTAATTAACGGTCGCACTCAATTCAAGGATTTCACAGGTTTTTGTAAAAATCTAAAAATGAATTTTGAATAAAGTGCTTAGAATATGGGTTTATGTCCTGTATATGTTTAAACAAAATTAGAAAACAAGTTATGAAAAAGCGTGCTTTAATGATCCCAAAAATCATTCAATTTAAAATAAGCATTGTTTCTAGTTAGCTGTCAACAGATGAACAGTATGTCACTTAATTGTAAATGAAAAAATCACAAAAATCTCTTTTCAAATTATTTTTCATAAATGAAAGTATTTTATTTTCCTTTTTTTATTCATTGGTATTGTTTATCTTAGTATTCTTAACATATATCACTCACAGAAATAACATACATTAAAACCGAACGGTAAAAAAAAATTTAAATTCGCCAAATATAGCGTTGTCAATTATTTTTTGCAAACGGCTCACAAAATTCAAAATAAAACGTAGATAACCTAACGGTATCACAAATTTGAAAACGAGTGAACGCGGGTTTCATAGCTATGCATTGCTCTATTACATTCAATTCGATTAATGCTTTGGACAGTTCAGATTTTGTTGATTTAGTGCTTTCACTAATGTCTGGTAAACGAACTAATGAAATTCTTATTTATTTAGTTTATTTTAACAACTACAAGGAGAAATCGATTAAGGAATTAGCGGAAATGGATACTATCAAGCTTAGAACGATTTATAATATTATTAAACGCGCAGAAAAAGAAAAAAGGTTGGAATTGAAACACTCTGGAGGCAGACCATCCAAACTTTCTAGACGCGATCATTCAAAAATTTTAAAGCAGGTCAGTGATAACCCTCAAGCCACCCTGAGAAAATTGGCGTTAGAAATTAAAAATGATTGCCATAAAACAGTAGGTCACGAGACAATCCGAAAAGTCTTAAGAATTTACAAGTACCCCTCCCAAATGGCTAGAAAGAAACCATTGCTATCGGTAGTTAATATTGAGAAGCGGCTCAACTTTTCTTTTACCAATGTTTATAGGACTGTGGAACACTGGGATGACGTTATTTTTTGTGACAAGAAAAATAATATTACACTATCATGATGAACCCAGCAAAGTTTTGAGAAAACCCAACACACCTTTGCAACAGAAAAATATAATTCCAACAGTAAAATTTGGTAAGCTTTCTGGAATAGTTTAGGGTTGCGTTTCGTAGGAAGGTGTTGGTGATCTCTGAATTTTTAATGACGTGATGACGAAGGAGTTTTACTTAACTATTCTGAAGAACGAATTGTCAAGGAATGCGATAAGATTAAAGTACAAACTCTTCCAGGACAACGATCCCAAACAAAAATCATTGCAGTGCAGGACGTCGCTCTTATATATCAGCAGTAAATTGTAAGTTAAGACACTCTTGCCCAGAGTCCTGGCTTAAGCCCCATAGAAAATTTAAGTGCTTTTATAAAGAAGAGAGTCGGCAAACGGGTCCTAACTAATAAAAACGCTTTTATAAGTCATTCAAGAATAGTGGAACAAAATACCTGAAAATTATGACTTAAACAACCTTATTCAAGCTATGCTCCGTCGTCTTCGAGTTGTTATAAATACAAGTGGCCATCAAACCAAATATTAGTACAAACACTGTTATATTTGGGAAAATTTTAGTTTACAACCACAGGCTTTCGTAAATAAATTTTGTATGGATGGTAAGAGGAAAAAGCCTAGATTCTTTTCTTTAGCTGACTTATAGTTTTTTAAAAATTCTATTTTAAATTTTGAGTAATAAATGCAAAATTACGTCTAAAATAGTTTCAGGACTACTAAGTAAAATAATACTTAAGTATAGAGTCTGTTTGTTTGAATTTTGTCTAGGCAGGCGTAGCCACTCAGTAAAAAGGATTATAAATTACGGATAACTATGCATAAAAATATAATTAATGTTATTCACTTAAATATTTTAAGTCAAGTGAAACTTCTTTGTAAGTTGGCGGCCTTCGACCGCGTTTTGGATTGTAACCCTGGGCTGTACCAACACCGGCTTCGCCTTGCACAGTATTTTTAAATGATATGCCTTTATGAAAAATACTGTTGTTGTTGTAGCGGTTCGCTAACCCCGCTTAGGCACAGGTTTGATCAGTCTAAGTCGCCGAGGTTATCTAGTGGGAGGTCCAGGAAACAACCTGTTTCGACGGGGTTGGACCAGAGGGAGAGGGGGGTTAGAGCTTCTGAGGGTGTCGCGCCTGGATGCTAATGCCGCCGCTTCTGTCGGAAAATTTGGGCGGATTCCCGCAATTCGGCCTGCTGGGATGAATCGGGCGGCAGCAGTCACGACGACTCTGCGGTATATATGTTCACCAGTGGTGACGTCTGATGGAGTGGGAAGAGCACTAAAAGTGTTCTCAGTGAGTTCCGTGAATCCGGGCCAGTTAACAAATGTCCGGTGGTCCGCGGAAACAAACAAAGGCCTGTCAATCGAGATTTGTATGGGCAAGAGGTCTGATGCTAACGTCAGTATAGGTCGCCAGACTATACTGTTTAGCAGACCAGCACTCGCAATTGTTATGTCTGACGAGCTTTGGCGATTACCCATAACTCTGGTGGGAGTGTTGTCGTTCATTGTGCAGAATGCTGAAACGTCTATCTGTTCCGCCAGCTCCTTTCCTCTACGGTCGTTTGACAGGCTAGAATGCCAAAGATCGTGATGCGCGTTAAAGTCGCCCAAAACCAAACGGTTTTCGCCCCTGAGTAGCGCACCTATATCAGGGGTGTATCGTGCTGGGGAACTTGTAACTGGAGGAATGTATATATTAAATATCTCGAGCTCGGCATTGCCTCACCGGATAGCTATGCCCTGACATTCTAGGGTAGTATCCCTGCGATCGATGTGGCCGTCGATAAGAGGATACTGCACCGTGTTGTGCAGTATGAACGCTAGGACCTCACCATGGTCTCGCTCGTGATTCTTGTGGATTATGTTATATCCGGCCTGGCTCAGAAGATCTGATCGGGCGGTCAACCTAGTTTCCTGGATCGTAGTAATTGACAGGTGCTCCCGGCTCATGTAGTCGACTAGCTCGTCAATCTTTCAGTGCAGTTAAAGTGTAGGAGTCGGGTCTATCTCGGGGGAATGTTCGTGATAAGGGGGGTGAGGAAGTGATGCGTGGATGGTGTGTGTTGCTGCTGTAATGCCTGTGAAGGTTGGTTCCGCACGTTGGTGTTAGTTCGCCGAGGGTTTGTCGCAACATGCGAGGGCAGACTCCTACAGAACGGGGCAACATACGCATCGGCGACTTAGACTGATCAAACCTATGTCTAAGCGGCGCACCACACACTGTGCAGGGTACTAGGAGCTGCTGGGTAGCCCTCGCACGGGAGGAAGATGAGGAGCTGGTTGTGAGTAGGGATGGGGGTGGAGGTTGGTGGGAGTCATGCTGCGGGTAACTCCGTGAGACCGTAGAGGTCTGTTGATTACCCTGAGTGGATAAAGGTGCTGAAGGCACTGCCGTGGAGGCCAGGGGGGGCGATTGGACGCTGGCAGCATGGGGCCACATTACTCGTGGTCCACTTCCTGTGAGTCTTTAGGTCTGAGCAGGTCTGAAGGTGACTCCAACCATTGCTTGGTTGCATCTAACCGAGGTGGAGTGGTGGAGTCTTCTATGACACACGCAGCAGAAATAATCCGTCGGACCAGGGTTGGTCTCGACACCAGTGGGGCAGCAAACCAAAGCTCATCCTTATATTTTCCCAGTTTTAATTATATTTGTATATTATAATTTACTTTTATGTCTTTAATTCTGGAATTTGTGTGCATTATTTATGTTAAGATTACTCAGAGTAATATTATTAAAAAAAAACTTAAAAAAAATTACTTTAGTTAGTAAAAATCAAGTAGAAAAATGAATTTGTTCGATTTTTTTCATTTTGCAGTAATGTAATTGGCATACTGTATATATTTTAAATTAACTATTATTAATATATTAATTATTTGGGACACCGGATTTTGCTGTAACTGTCCAAAAGTGATAGGGTTTTAACTAAATAAGTGTATTTGACGATTATCTTTTCATTAATAGTGGGGGGGGGGAAGCTGAATTTCGCAATAGTTTTCTTATTATTAATAACTAGAGTTTAACTAAAATTACTAGCAAACACATGACATACAAATACCAAGTTAAATCGATATTTGCATACTGTGAAAGAAATCTTAAAAAAGAGCAGTAAAGTGTGTGTGGGCCCACAGTTTGGCTGAGCTTTGATATGCAGCTCCACTTGATATTGTAAGCAAACAACCAGGAATTTCGACATGAAACTTCGTAGGAATGATGAGAGAAATATATTTTTCCAATATGTTAACTTTTGGAATTTGAATATATTACAGTTTATAAGTTATTTGTTGTTATAAATTGTTAACTTTATTCCATTATTTCTTTATGAAACGGTCACTATTCTTTCATTTTATTTTAACAAAAACAAATATTACTTTGATTTTATTAAATAGTTTCACTCATTTTGTATATATTAACGCGCGATGTGACTTAAATAAAGATTAACAAATTATATTATAAACATGGCTGCATACTAATATGGATGGTGTTGCCGTACAGGGTAAAATATTCTGTAAATTTAACAATATTCAGCAATGAACATGGAAGGCGGTGCCGTACTATGTAATATATTATACAAATTAAACAAAATTCAACAACAAAATATGAAAACAAAACAAAATGAAAATTTACTGTGCTAGGCGAAGCCGGTGTTGGTCTGGCCAGGGTTACAATCCAATGCGCGGCCAAAGGCCGCCAATTTACAAAGGAGTTTCACTTAAGAATACTGTGCAAGGCGAAGCCGGTGTTGGTCCGGCCCAGGGTTACAATCCAAAGCGCGACCGAAGGCCGCCACTTTATAAAGGAGTTTTACTTAACTTAAAATTTTTAAGTGAATAACATTTTATTTTATTAAACAATTTTCTTATTATATTTTCCTGCATATTTATCCTTAATTTATAAACCTTTTTACTGAGTGGCTACGCCTGCCTAGCCAAAATACAAACAAACAGGCTCTGTGCTTAAGTATTATTTTACTTAGTAGTCCGTCAACTCCAATGTAGACGTAATTTTGCATTTATTACTCAAAATTTACAATAGAATTATTACAAAGCTATAAGTCAGATAAAGAAAGGAAAATTAGTTTTAGAATCTAGGAATTTTCCTCTTTCCATCCATATAAAATTTATTTGCGAAAGCCTGTGGCTCTAAACAAAAATTTTACAATCTAAAAATATGTTGATGTTATTCATTTTCGTCTTTGTTCGGTTCAAAAATCCAAAAAAAAAAAACTGGGCCGAACTCACACATAGCTCTTTTCTACATTCCTTTCAGAGTATGGCAACATCTCTTTAACGATGTATATGTATGTTATTAATTTTTGTTTTAGTAAACGTTAAAAACAATAAAACTACTGCAAAACTCATATTTCACCCACTTTTAAAGAAAAGATAATCATCAAATACACATATTTCCCCAAAAGGCGCATCATTTTTGGACTGTTACAGGAAAAACCGCTATCCTGAATAATTACCAAAACAAAGGTAACAAATAATTACAGATAAATTTGTCCTTTGTCATCTTATAAAGCAGATCAAAATCTTCTAGTGACTTAGGTTTATAACCAAGACGCGTTTGAGGTCTCGAGGCAGCGTTTCCAAAATCATTAGGTTTTCTATAAAAAATTTGGGGGGTAGAACTCCAAGCGCGTCTAATAACAATTTGAGGTAAATTTTCATGATAGTATCTTTTGACATTAATTCCAATTGTGTTCCTTGGGCTTCCCGAGGCACTGGTTTGTAGGTTTTTATACTTCAAAATGTTGTTCACAGACCCCTGCAAGGTCTGGTTTAATAGAGTTTTATTCTTATATTCAGGATTCTTAACACAGAGGAGGCTACAATTCGAATAGCACATCCGCCAATAGCAAAGCGAAAGTATATTCATATTATTTAATATTGTCAGATTCTTTTATTTAAACAATATATCAGTACTCAAAATTGTTATATTTTGTTTCATTTATGTTATTCAATAATACCAAGCACTTTACTACAAAAATAATATGATATGAGACTTAAGGTCCAAATAGTTACAACGATTCACCGTTCTCTATCATATTCAATTTACAATCGAAGAATATTGACTCGATGACTTACCAAATCCCTTGACTTCGATCCCTGCATTGCAATTCTGTAACTTTATCGACACGATTTATCGGATCGCAAATTGCAAATTTTGTCGCTCATATTAACGTTTATGTGATTCTATTACTCAGTTGTTACGATAATCGCCCAAGGACATTTCCATTTTATTAACATATAGGAAAGGTGGCATCCCAGCAAACAGAACGTCAAAATATGCGAAAAGCACAAAGAGTAATATCTTAAACAAATATATTTGTTATAGAAATTAAATTTATTAAATAAGTAGCAATGCATTATAAAGTTTATCAAATCGAAATCATGTTATGGTTTTCACTTTCATGTATGACACTCCGCTCTATAGAGGAGCTCCAAATAAAATAGTTGTGCCGCACTCTTGGGTACATGGCATTTGTCGCTGTAATCTTGCGATAAGGACCACATATCTGTGAGCAAATATAATGAACTTTGTTACTTCAAATGTAATTGAAAAAAATTTGCTCACCATTTGCTCGTTGGTGGATTGGTATTCATGAAAGTTGACATAGGCTTCGCAACCGATAGCCAAAATAGTTCCTCCAGCAAAAGGCAACATAATGAGAAATCTAACCATTACAGAAAACATTGATCGGTTACTGACGACTGACTCATGGATATCCCCCATTGCTCTCCGAAGGGACATTGATAGCATTCGATTGCAAAAAAGATCTATATCTATATAGATATTTTAATAGCGTAAAGGCTAACAACATATCGAAAAAATACATTATTACCTGTTTCTCCGTAGACAATCTAGGTGAGAAACGATTTCTCCAACTAAACCCGGCGTCAATCTATATAGCTTCCGTAACTCGGTAGCATTCATTGAAAATTATCTTCCGTTTCCCGAAGTAAACTTGTGATAAATCGTTTAAAATCTTTAAAAATATCGCTAAGTCTTCTTTGCGAACCGAAAATCGTTATGGCATGCTTAGAAAATAGCGAATATCGTTAAAAATATCGCTAAGTCTTCTTTGCGGTCCGAAAATCATTATACTGTTGCGAAAATGCGAGGCGAATGTCAGATGAAAGAGTCATGTTATGGTTTTCACTTTCATGTATGACACTCCGCTCTATAGAGGAGCTCCAAATAAAATAGTTGTGCCGCACTCTTGGGTATATGGCATTTGTCGCTGTAATCTTGCGATAAGGACCACATATCTGTGAGCAAATATAATGAACTTTGTTACTTCAAATGTAATTGAACAAAATTTGCTCACCATTTGCTCGTTGGTGGATTGGTATTCATGAAAGTTGACATAGGCTTCGCAACCGATAGCCAAAATAGTTCCTCCAGCAAAAGGCAACATAATGAGAAATCTAACCATTACAGAAAACATTGATCGGTTACTGACGACTGACTCATGGATATCCCCCATTGCTCTCC